TCTAGTTTAAAATTATATCAAAATATTTTTACGTTTGTTTAATTAAAAATATATAAAATGAGTAATAAGACAATTGTCACCTTTATAGGTAGTAAGCTCATTACTACCAAAAATTAGAAAAAGCTTAATAATAACAATGTCACTTATAAAAAATATTTTTACCTATTTACTTTTAAAAAATATTCATAATTATGGATTATGACAATTGTCACTGTTCTATGGTACATCTTCACTGAAATTTTAATTTAACATGTTTACAAAACATATTTTTACTTATTTGCTTTAAAAAAATTTGTTGATAATTAACGATTATGACAATTGTCACTTTTCTATGGTACATCTTCACTGAAATTTTAATTTAACATGTTTACAAAACATATTTTTACTTATTTGCTTTAAAAAAATTTAAAAATGTTGATAATTAACGATTATGACAATTTTCACTTTTCTATGGTACATCTTCATTGAAATTTTAATTTAACATGTTTACAAAACATTTTACTTATTTGCTTTAAAAAAATTTAAAAATGTTGATAATTATCGATTATGACAATTGTCTCTTTTCTATGGTACATCTTCACTGAAATTTTAATTTAACATGTTTACAAAACATATTTTTATTTATTTGCTTTAAAAAAAATTTAAAAATGTTGATAATTAACGATTATGACAATTGTCACCTTTATATCCTTTACAATCACTGAAACTATCTTGAAACATGCTCAACTAGCTTATTTTAAAAAATTATTTTTAAAGGTTCTGAGATGAGTATGTCACTTTTATACTTTACATTAAATATAAATTAATTATGACAAAACACTAATTATTAAAAAATATGTAATCGTTAAATTCTCACATTTACAACTTATGAAAAATAATATTTTTCTTAGATCAAAAAATAAAATAAAAGCAATCTCAAAAATTTTATTTTTAAAAAATCACAAAATATTTGTACAAAAAATTTTTGGATCAAAAATGTTTTATTATAATAAAGATTTTATCATATTATAAAATTCCAAAAATTATTTCTCAAATGAAGATTTTATTACAAAAAAACATTTTTTATTTTGCTCAAAAATTTTCTTTTTCTTTGAGCAAGCTCAAAATTTTTTTAGCGAAAAAATCTTCGCATTTTTTGATCTTCAAAAGAGCTACGATCTATGAAGATTTTTTAATTTTGAGCAAATGTTAAACCCTGAAAAAATTTCCCCGACATAAAATGGCCTCTATAACAAAAATAAAATGTAAAAATTTTAAAAATGTTTATCTAAAATCATTTATTTTTATAAAATCGAAATCCATTTTTATTTATATTTTTTAAATAATAATTATTATTATTTTTTTGCGCATTCTGTTTATAAAATTGTGCGATAATCTCTTCAGAATCAGATTTTAGTGAAGCTGGTGATATTGACAGTTACCTTCGCCGAAGGCTGACCTCTGATAAATTGGAAATTTTGGTATTTCTAAAAAGAAATCTTCGATATATTAATGTTAAATATTATTTTAAATATTTATTTCTAATTTCATATAAATTTGTTTATTACTTATTATGTATATAGATTAATGTACTACTTATTATATAAAAGTGATTTAACAATAAAAATATTTTATACACTTTTAGAATTGCAATTGAATTGAATATAAACTATAACTGATCATTATAATATATTTAAATGACATAAGTTATGTTATAGTTAAATTATAGATGTTATAATAATAAAAAGTATAAAAAATTAAAACCATTGATATCTTTACAGAATACAGAATTAGATATGATATCGGATCGGATCGGTAATCGGCCGATATCAATTTAATATTAGAAATATAGAATTTGTAATTTAAACAATATCTTAAATTTAATTTTATATTTAGAATAAAATTTAAATTTGTGATAGAAATCATATTGGGTAAAATTTAAAAGGATATGCTTGAAAATTTTTTAATTTTTAATATGGACCAGACATTGGCCTGAAATTTTTTTTTCTCGAACCTGGCCAACCTATAATAATTTTGTAATTTTTTCCCAAGTCTATAGATAGGTAAATATCTGAAAACCATATTGTTGGGAAAATTTTCTCAAGGCCGCCAAAGACCATAATAATTTTGTTAGTAGAGAACTGAAATAAAATATATAAGTCATAATTCATTTAAAAATAAAATCAGAATATGAAAGTTGCATGGACTTGGTTTCTTGATCAGGCCTGGCTATTGCAAAAAAAAATTTTCAGGCCAATGTATAACCCATATTTAAAATTCAAAAATCTTAAAGCATCTCTATTTTAAATTTTATCCATTATGATTTCCATCACAAATTTAAATTATGATATCTAATATATGCTCACGGTATACATTGCAACAATTTTACCTCTTTTTCTCCTAAATTTTAATATTTATATAAAAATTTTAATAAAGTATATTTAGTACCATACACACAAGCTAAATCATTACCCTTCAACCCCGTCAGCTAATATGGTAATAAACGGCAGAATTTTAAAAATATCAGCGAGCAAATACTTTTCAATTTGATCGAAAAATGGATAACAGTTTCACCGCCTCTTTTTAAATATATATATAATTAATATTTTAAATTTAATTATATTCAAGTAGGTACTTGCTTAAAACATACGACTTTGAAACGGGAGGTTTGTGGTTCGACTCTCGTAGAGAGCAAAAAAAATAACATTACACTATAGTCTCCTTAAATTTTAAATACATTTGAAAACGATCATGTTTTGATTATGGAGATTATATATATTAGATTAATTAGGAAAACCTACTTAATTAAATATTCATGTTATTTATTTTATTGGTAAATTGATAATAACTACTTGGATTGATTATGGAGATTATATATATTAGATTAATTAGGAAAACCTACTTAATTAACATGTTATTTATTTTATTGGTAAATTGATAATAACTACTTGGAAAATAAAGAGTAGGGCTCTGCCAATCCACAAATTCTGTTCTGATAATACTACAAAGCCTATCCAATACTGATCCAAAATTTATATTGATTTTTAAAATTATAAGTGTATTTTGTTTTATTTATTCTCAAAAAGTTAATTTCCTCATTTAAAATATTTGAAATGTTAATTTTCATGTGGAACTCTCAACAACAAAAAAACCTAAAGTACTGAATGAATTTAATAGGTTATAAATTTTGGAAGAAAAGCCATATAGGTTCAGTAAAGCTAATTTTTATCTATAATTTATTAATATTTTATTTAGACTTTTTATGGATAGCCTTGTAGAGGATGCTGAAATCTTAAGTTTAACAACTAAGTGCTGTTTATAACTGAGGTTTTAAAATTTCTACACTATCTGAAGACAAATGGTACCTTACCAACCCCTACAAATAAATATGCATTGACATATTTAATAGCATTATATAAATTATTTATTTATTATAAAAATATATTTTGTATTTTATATTGACATTATATTCTTTTAATATAATTTTTATATATTTATATTTGTCTCTATTTTCATGTTTACTAGATATATCAATTTAATTTTTCTTAATATTCAGTTAATTTAGTTATATCTTTTAATTACTATGGTTGATATTGAAAATATATTTATAAAAGCTACAGATAAATCTTATTTAGGTATAGTTTTTACACTATATAAATTATATGTCTTAATTTCTATGAAAATTTCAATTGTATCAAGTTATAAGAGAATAGAATTAATATTATTTTAAGTTTGAAGTTCATTCCACAAGCTTTAAAATAGCTCAATGGGCTACATCTAGAATAGTGTTCAAATTAACAATAGAAATTAAGTGATATATCAATTAAATTTTTCTTAATATTCAATTTATTTATAACATTTAATAACATAATTGTCTATAAAAATTAAATATGTAACATAATTTAATATAAAATCTTTCCATAAATAAATTTAATACAATATAAATGGGTAATTCCATGATAAATCGACCAGCGATTAGGCCGACCATCTCAAAAATGAATGAAGCTTGGATATAACGCCATCTATATTGCATTTTTTATTTATAAAAATAATAAAAATTCAAATAAAATTAAAAAAACAAAAATGGCTATCGAGATTTTTTATTAATACGTTTAATATAAAGGTAATAAATATTTTTAGTGAATATTAACACCCAAAAAAAATCCCTTCCTAAAAATGTTAATTTTTTATTTTTACCGGAAATAAGAAAACACTTGAAATTTTTTAATATTTTCCAACGTAAAATTTTAAGGGCTATAAAATGATATATAATTGTAACTCTATCTTAAGTATTTTTTAAAATAACAAGATTTAATGAAATCACGCACTTCGCGATTTTCATCTTTGAAGGTGTATATCTTTGGTTTAGCTAGCACTCTAAAATTTTAATTTTATTAACATTTACAACATAAATAACTAACATGCCAAGTTTCATTCATTTTTGAGATGGTCGGCCGAAAATCTCATTTTTTGGTCGATTTGACGTGGAATCACCCAAATATAAAAATTTATTAATTTATAAAATTTTTAAATTTGTCTAAAGAATTTTTGATTCCTTTGAAGTAGAATTATTTTCCCTGCTATGCAAGAAAGGTTTTATAGTGATTTTTTGTCTTAATGTTTTAAATTTAAATGCTTCATATTGAAAAAATAAAACTTAACACATCAATTTAAACATGGCTGGGTTTACATTTTTTTATATGCGTTTTGAAACGCTCTTAACGTTCAATTTGTGCACACTAGGGCCTAAAAAAATTTAGCTCATTAATATATTTTTTTTTAAAAAGATTAATTTATCTATATATTATAAATCGGGGTGGCCTAATGGGTTAGATGTATGCTTGGAAACAGAAGGATGCAAAGTTCAATCCTGGCAAGGAGCATAAAAACTTTCAGGTTTTTCTTCGATGACTGATGTGTAAAGACATATGGTAAGATGAATTTTGGAGCTTAGAGATGACACCCCGGTCACTGACAGGTCTGAACAGCCGGGTGCTAAGGATACTTGTCCATTAAACAAAATGAATGAAACAAATGAAAATATGAATATGAAAGCTTGGGCGTTCTCTCCAAGCGACGTGCAGGGTGTAGACCTCCATCCTGCGAAAAGTAAAATAAAGGCCAAAGCAAAGAAGACAAGGTTAGCAAGTTTGAATGTTGGGACACTTAAAGGTAAAACGAGAGAATTGGCATCAATGTTGAACAAGAGAAAAGTTGATATAGCGTGCATACAAGAGACGAAATGGAAAGGTCAGAAGACTTTAATGATTGGGGATGGGTATAAATTGTACTATAATGGAATTGTTAGCAATAGGAACGGTGTCGGCATCATCCTCAGTCAAGATCTAACCTCCTCAGTTGTAGAAGTCAACAGGATCTCTGATAGATTAATGAAGATAAAACTATGCATTGGTCAATCAATACTACACATCCTTTCAGTATATGCTCCTCAAACGGGTTGCAAGGAAGAAGAGAAAGATGATTTTAGAGCTATCCTCGATGAAGCTGTAATGGAAATCCCTAAGGATGACCAAGTCATAATAGGTGGTGACTTAAATGTGCATGTGGGAAAAACAAGAGATAGCTACAAAAGGCATCATGGTGGTTTTGGATATGGAGAAAGGAATGATGAAGGAGAGCATGTACTGAAATTTGTGCAAGTCTTCGACCTTGCCTTAACCAACACCTACTATAGATAAAAAGACAGTCATTTAATAACATATGAAAGTAGTACAAGGAAAACACAGATAGATTACATAATTATCTCTCGCAGAAGTTTAAAAGATGTAATAGACTGCAAATTCATCCCAGGAGAAGATATAGCCGTGCAACACAAGCTACTAGTCATGGATTTACACATCACAATTAAATCCACTCAAAACAAGATAAAACTGGAACCATGCATCAAATGGGGTAGATTAAAAACAATGACAGATGCCTTTGCAATGAATGCAAACATTCAAACAATATATTCCTCACAAGTCAGTGAAAAAATGTGGACAGACCTTTCATCCAGATTAATGACACTGCCAAATCAACACTAGGCTTGACAAGGGGAGGTAACAAATCATACAAAGAACTATGGTGGTGGAATGAAGAGGTACTAATCACTATACAGGAGAAAAAAGCCCTTTAATATGGTACAAATCCAAAAACCCAGATGACAAGACAAATTACAAAAAATCCAAGAGAATAGCTAAAAAGGCGGTGGCTAGGGCCAAAGCTATGCCATACGATGACATGTATGAAGAACTACATACCAAAGAAGGGCAAAATAAAATATACAGATTAGCCAAACAGCGAGAAATGAATTCTAGGGTTATAAACGGAGCTCCAAAAGTAATCAAGAATAAAGATGGCAAATTGATAATAAAGGAAAAAGAAATAATAAATAGATGGAAAGAATATTTTCAGGAGCTTCTCAACTTTAATCCCCACATACTACATTTAGATGAACATTCCCCATGTCAAAACCTTATCCAATAACAGAACAAGAGATAATCATAAGCTAGGGGTCCAGACGATATTCCAATAAAAAGCCTTAAAGCACTAGGAGATGATGGAATACATTTTCTCACAAATCTATACAATAAAATACTTGGAAATGAAGAGGTTCCTCAAAAATGGCAGAGCTATCTAGTTCCTATCTTCAAAAATAAAGGGGACCCACACAATTGTCAAAATTACAGGGGCATAAAACTAATGTCACACTGCCTAAACCTATACGAAAAAATAATAGAAAAAAGATTAAGAGACATAATCGAAATAGGAGATACTCAGTTTGGATTTATGCCTGGAAGATCAACAACTGATGATATCCACGTAATTAGGCAAATGAGTGAAAAATACAGGGAAAAGAACAAAAAGCTACACATGGTGTTTCTCGATCTAGAAAAGGCCTTTGATAAAATCCCAAGAAAACTTATCTGGTGGGCGCTACGCCACAAAAAGGTTCCCGAAAAATATACAAGAATAATACGATATATGTATATGGACCATACAACAATGGTCCATAGCACAACAGGTACTTCAGCAGGTTTCACAATAGCCAAAGGAGTTCATCAAGGGTCGGCTCTAAGCCCTCTTCTCTTCATTACAGTAATAGATGTATTAGCACAGTCTATACTTCAAACAGTCCCATGGAATATGATATTTGCAGATGATATTGTGATACTTGCCGAATCCAAGGATGAAATGAAAGAAAGATTAGTGAGTTGGATAAATAAACTAGAAGAAAAGCACAGACTAAAAGTAAATAGAGAAATGAAAAATATATGGTGATAGGAGGAGATGAAACAGAGAGTATTGATATAAATGAATGGCAGATATCGGAAATTGAAAGCTGCAAATATTTGGGCTCCACTATAGAAACAAATGGTACAATAGAAAAAGAGATAAAGAGTAAGATTAATCAAGGGTGGCTAAAGTGGATATCTTTATCTGGAGTGCTATTTGACAAAAGAATCCTACACAAATTAAAGGGAAAAATTTACAGTTCCATAGTACAATCAACTATTCTATATAGTTCGGAAACATGGCCAACCAAGGAATTAGACGAGAGAAGTCTACAAACTATAGAGATGAGAATGCTGAGGATGATTGTATTAAGACTAAGTTAATGGTAAACAGACTTAGGTGGTATGGGCACACAATGAGAAGGCCTATGAACTACATAGGAAATAAGGTTGAGAGTTTGTTAGTGATGAGCAAACGTAAAAGAGGAAGGCCAAAACTTCAATGGGGCCATAAATTTAGAGCCAATATAAAGAAGTATAAATTAGATAAAAGAGATTGTATGAATAACATAAAGTTGAGAGAGATGAAGGTTCTCCACCAGAAAAGGTGAAAGCTAAAGAGAAAAAAAGAATTATAAATATGAGTATATCTTTTATAATTTAAATAAAAATATATCTATATTATTAGGTCTTAAGTATATTCTATAAATATGAAAAAAAATCCAGGAGTTTTTTTCAGGGGTTTTTTTTACTGGGGATTTTTTCCTTTTTTTTCCAGGATTCTTTTTTCCATATTTTATAAGAAAAATTTGAATCACAAAAAAGAAACATGTAACCATTACCCCTAGAAGAAGGTAACAAATGGTGTTCTTCTTATAAAAAAGTAATGACATTAGTAAATACATTACTTTACGGCACTATTGATGATTTTGACAGTCCTTTTTTGTATTGATGATATTTGGAAATTATCATAAGTACATAATGTTTCAAATCCAAATTGATTGTTTGCTTGGATAAGCACTTTTGGTAATGTCATTTTCTAGATATACTCAATGGAACTTTGTAGAGTGCCTCAATATTGTCTTTTTAACAATAAAATTAATAATTTTTCATATAAAGAGGGATAAAAAATTTTTAGATAATGATTTTTGGTTGGTTTTATTCATATTAGCTCAATATATAATTCACAAGTTAGTAACAGCAATATTTAGCCATGTTTAATTTTTTCACTTAAAATAATTTTAGTAAAAACCTCCAATTTTGATATGTCTTTCATAACATATAATACATATTTCCTAAAAAAACCTTCATAGGTCATATATTCAAAAATGTTTTACTCAAAAAAATATTTCACATAATTATTTTTATTAAAAATAAACAATTGGGAAAAAATTTATGTTAAAACAATGTATAGAAATATGAAAAATAACAGTTCAATCTCTTTTGTAAATTAATTTTATAATAAGCCTATTGAACAAACCCTATAAAAAGAAAGGGGGAGAAGATTGTAAATATTTTGATTAAATAAATGTTAAGTTTGATTAATTATTTTGAATTGAAGGGACTATTAAATAATGACTTAATATAAACCATTATGTATATCTGATTAAATCAATTTTTTGTAGCAAATTTAAGCTTATGTATAATATAATAAAAATTATTACAATTTAAATTCTATAAAAACCTATAATTACATAAATAATTAGTAAAAAGGTTTATATACAGCGATACTTATACAGTATATAATGAATATGATCCATTATTTTTATTTATTATATTAATATAATAAAAATAAAATAAATTTTAGCAGTACATAATAAATTTAATCTAATAATGACTTCCTAAAAAATAAAATCTTATTATTTATTTAAATAATTTTTTTTTAAATTAATAATATATTACGTTTTTGTATTATAACCTAAGGGTGAATGGTTTCCTGGTCCAATAAATAATCAGAATATGCGGATTTTCAAAAACTAGAAGATTGGCATTCTGTCAAAAAACAAGTGAAAACATAGCAGATAGCTACTTTAAAACAATTTCGAATGGCATTTATAATCTTTTCTATTTTATATTAAAATTTTAAAGCAGATGATTTTTAAATTTCAATTTAATCTCTAAAATCGTTGTCCTTTAAATTATACATACACTTATATGGCTTGCCCACAAACGTGTGAAGTACTTCTAATTTTTCCCTCTGTATTAAACATCCAGTTTGATGGATTTGAGGAAAACCTAGCATAGCTATGTTTCTTCTCAACACTTAAAGGTTTAAGCTGATACACGTATTACTTAGAAATAGCAAATATGAACTATTTAATTGGCTTAAAAATAAACCCAGTTGGGGATTTATTAGACGAAATCAACCAAAATAAATATATTATTTTTGTATTCAAGTATAATTTGAAATAATTTAAAGTTAACATTCAAAAATAATTAAAAATGTTCCAAGTAAACAATTATTTATATTTTATTGATAATAAAATAGAAGACCGAAGAACTCAATGATATCCTAACAACTATATGATCAATAATGTTGTGGGCTTTCATAATGCTTTAAAAATCTAGTTATGGTAGCACACCAAATTATATTTAAATTTATTGATTCTATAAAACAAAACAGAAAATATATAATGCAATTAGAGTACGGGCGGAAATATTAATGCAATAATAATTCAAAATTTCATTACTCAAAAGTTTTAAAAATTTTATATTTTTATCTCGTGAAAATTTTCACAATTCTTTTATTTTACATTAAAAATAGAGTATATTATATAAAAATTTTAAAAAGGCGTGTGCTATATTGGATGCTACTATGTTAGGACTATTAAATCATATACTAGATAATTAAGCAATTTATTTAAATAGACATATATAAACTGAATTAAGGAAAAACATAAATAGTTCTATATAAATTTGTATCATTTAAAAATTTAATTAATTTACTTAAATTTGAGATATTGTTAATATTACGAAAATAAGAATATTCACATATATAAAAATGAGAGGAGGATTTTATACCAGTTCTGAGGATGCTCGACTTAATTTCACCAATATCCAGATAATGGTATATTTATTATTTTTTTAAAAAAATCTAAAATTATGTCAATTGAACGAAAAAAGTATGCAATTTTTAAAACTTTTGAGTAATTAAACTTTGAATTATTATTACATATCATGCCCCTCTTTTGGCAAATTATCATTCCTCACTAAATCAGGTAAACTTTCATTTCATGGTCCCAGATCTTCAAGATGTCCTGCGTCTGGATTTTTCTTCTTCAATCCCTCTTTACCACCTTCTAGCCTCCCAGCCTTATTCTATAATCCTGTTCTGCCATCCTTAAGTAATAACGACCCAATAAGCAATAATGACCTTGATGATAATAATCTTTTACCCACTAATGTTCCTCAACCCCATTGTGTCCAGAACATCATGACTAATCCATATGCCTACAATCTCAAAAATACCTCGTGGTGCTCGCTTTTTGACAGCCCAAAAATTACTTGATCTTATTGGTTTGCTTAATAACAACATCAATAATTCAGAAAATTGGAAAGATCTATTCTTTCACCCCTACTCATCTGAGTTCTCCTTCTCATAAAGATAACCTATCACGCCAAATAAAATCTCTTTTGACCTTAATGCCCTACCTTGCTCCTTATTCACTAAAAAGCAAATCAACAACTTTCAACCCTCAAATAGTGTTGTTAAATTGCCGGGTCGGGTCAGCTTGGCCGAAAACCCAGCAAGGTTTGAGCCGAAAAAACGACCCTAAACCCGAGTGATTTAGCCATAGATCAGACCCGACCCATAAGGTCTCATGAGCCGGCCCATCTGATCGGCTTGCTGGGTCGGCCTGCTGGGTTGGTTTGCTGGGTTGGCTAACTGGGTCAAAAAAATATTAAACCAGTTTGTTTTAATCCGGGTTCAATGTTTTTGATATTAGAAAGATGTTCAAAAATCTTTGGTTCTAGTAATAAATTGTCACTGTTATTATATCTTATTCCATGAGGAAAAAATAAATTGTAAATTTTTTTTAAAACATATCTTAGGCCTAGTTAAAAGTTTTAGATACTAGAATAATGTTCTAAAACCTTTGGGACTAGTAATAAATGGACACTGCCATTATATTATACTCCACGAGGAAACAATAAATGTGAAAATTTTAGGCCTAGTTTATGGTTTATGATATTAGAAAGATGTCCTAAAACTTTTGGGTTAGTAATAAATTGGCACTATCATTATATTTT